ATTGGGACCCCGTGTATGTCGAGCTCCTGCATCCCCTCCAGCTCAAAGATGTCCTCGTGGTCCTCCTCGTCGCTGCTGGACCCCTCCTCCTGCTCCTGGCCTGGAGGGGGGGCGATGTTGTGGTTGAGCGGGGGTTGCAACGGTGGGTCGTGTGCGTGCGTGTGTGCGTGTGTGCGTGGCGTGTGCGTGCGTGTGCGTATGTGTGTGTGTGTGTGTGTGTGTGTGTGTGTGCGCGCGTGTGTGTGTGTGTGTGTGTGTGTGCACGCACCACACAAATTCATGCGTGTGTTGGGATGCTTACCACGATGTGCCACCCCAGCGGCTGCTTGCACCCCACCAAGCCCACCCACCCACGCCGCACCTGGCGCCCAGAGTTGCCCCGTCCGCGGCTGCGACCCCTAAACAGCCCTGACAGACCAGACATGAATGCACACTCACACCGCCTCTCACACCCAACACACCGACTCACACATCCTCACACACACACTCGCACGCATGTGCACACCCACCCATCCCCCCCCCCACACACAACAAATACAGTGTCCCCTCCCTCGCCACCCCTCACCCGTCTTTGCGTCCACAATGTCCTCCCACTTGACCTCCACATCCAGGGCCAGCAGGTGGTCCACCACCCCCAGCAGCAGCCCCTCCCGCAGCGGCGCCCCCGCGGGGCGCTCCGCCAGCAGCAGCGCGGCGCGGAGGTAGAGGCACTGCGCCTCGCGGGGGCGGCTCTTGTGGGGGAGGTTCTGGAGGAGCATGGGCAGCAGCTGGGACGGCAGGGTGGGGATGAGCTGGAGGGCCTGGGGTGGGGTGGAGTGGGGTTGGGGGGGGTGAGCAGGGTGGGACGGGACGCGGGGTACGTGTTGGTGCTAGTTGATTGGGTATTGGGATGAAATAAGGGAGGAAAGCCGAAGATGCCCCAATTCAGAAAACCTTGACACAGGCACACTCGCATGCACACAACCACACACCAGCTCCTCCCTCCCTCCCAGCGTCGAAAACTCATCCATTCTCTCCATGTGCGCAGAGGCGTGCCCCATGGTCACCCCGCCCCTACGAACCCACCTTCTCCACTGCTTCCAGCACCTGCCCCTGCACCTCCACAGCTTCCGCGCTCGGCAGCCACTCAGACCCCGCCTCGTCCTCCGCCGCGGCAGTCTGCGCCGGCGGCGGCACCAGGCCTGCCAGCAGCGCCTGCGAGGGGGGCGCGCGCAGGCGCGGCGCAGCGAGCGGCGTGGGACCATGGAAATGGTGCCCTGTCGTGAGGCGATGGCCTCTGAGCGGCAGAGGGGCCCGGCTGCGCATGCAAAGCGCGAGCCCTGGCAACAGTCAGCCGCATGGACGGGCGGCCCGTCTGAAGAACCGCCGGGCGCGGGTGTGGCGCGGCGCACCTGCAGGCAGTTGTGCAGGAACGCGCCGTTGGCCACCATGAGGTTCACCAGCGCCTCCAGCAGCACCGCCCTCACGCCCTGAGAGGAGCAAGTATGCCATGGGGGGGGGGGGCGACGACCCTGCAGTCAGCACGAGACGCCAACTCAGCCTTGCCCGTCCGATGGTCAGGCCAGTCACAGCCGCCACCGCCGGTAGCCGGTCTCAAGGCCAAGGGCAGCCGCGGCCCCTCCACCCGCAGGGGTCAAGTGCCCCCATCCGCGGCGGCCGCCCCACCTTTGGCAGCGCCCACACGCGCATCCCCAGGACCTCCGCCAGCAGTGCGTCGTGGCGCCGCTCCCGCAGCGACGACACGCAGCCCGTCAGGGCGCGCAGCAGCTGCGCCAGAGAGAACTCGGCCTCGCAGTCGCCAGGGTCGGCCTCCAGGCGGCGCTTGAGGAGCGACAGGTCGCGCACCAGGCTGGGCGTGTGTGTGTGTGTGTTCGTGTGTGTGTATGTGTGTGTGTGGGTGCGCGCGCGTGAGGTGGGCAGTGGCAGAGGGGCATGATTTGTGGCCTTTGGGAGATGGTGGGAATGGGCGCATCAGTGAATAAAGGCAACGCAATTCAGGGAAATGTCGCATTACCAATGAGATATGCCAAAGGAGAGCGCCGGGCAACCGTGTTGCACGGCTTTTCTCGTTAGTGAGTGCATGAGACCCTCCACTTGCACGTTTAGTTTGCTACCGCCACTCAGAAATGCACGGGCGCCTTCCGCGCACGTTCACGCTTTAGATGCAGCTTCCCAAATCACCGTTTGCAGGACCTCTGCGCCCTGCCGCCAAGCCCAGGAACGCCGCAGCCGCTCCGCCGCTTTCGCACCCTTCTTCCTGCGCCTGCGGCTTAGTGCCCTGCGCCTAGCGTCTGCATCGTGTTGCTGCTCAGGTTTCAGGCCGCCTCCAGCACAGCTTGATTGGCGGCCACGGCGCAGGGGCAGCCCGTGCCTCGGCTACCGCCATGGGCCCCAATGCTGCCACTCGTATTAGCCTACGGCAAGCCGCGTGGCGCACTGACTTGCGGCTGTGTTGTGTTGAGCTTAGCAGGGCCCCAACTCCCATAGGCGACGGCCCCTATGTGATGCGCTGGTTATCGAAGGCGCAGTGCCGCCGCCTCGAACCTAGGTGCGGTGTCTGCCCTTGCGCACGCACAGCTGCATGCGAGATGCTTGGGATACTGCTCGTCGCCGTCCCAGCCACCGCCACTGTCAGCACCAACGGCGCGGAACCGCCTTCCTGCAGCGCGCTTGGGCCGCCACATCGTGTCCAGTGCTGCTGGCGCATCGCTGCTGCGGTTTGACCGCAGCTAATCAACCTATGGGACCGCAAGGCCCTTTGAGTTGTCTGCATGGCAGCTGCATGACAGCTGCATGGCGTTAATGGCAACCCATTAGGCACACACATTCAGGCGCAGGTCGCCATGCTGCAGGGGCAGAGGCAGCACCGCTCACGTGCTGTATGCAGCCGTCGACGTGCCCTTGGCCTTGCTGACCAGCGCCGCGTGCACGCTCTTGCGCAGCTCCGCCACTAGCTCCTTGTGCTGATCATTCCCTGCTTTGGACGGTGGGCATCATTTAGCAAGACACCGTGAAGCAGCAGCGGTCACACCACGGCATGGCACACCAAGCCGCACGCACCGTGCACAGGCGCGACTGCAGCCATCGCGCCCCGTGTTTTAGGCGCCCGAGGGCGCGCTGTCTAGTGTAGCAGTGGCCCCGATGATCTTGGAGCAAAAGGGATGCAAGGAGCAAGGTGGCGATGCTGCCAGAAGAACCTATAGGTTGAAAACATCTGATGCAATTCGTCGACGAAGCACGCCTTAGAACTCACTGCCTCGTTTGCCGGTTCAGCCGCCGCTGTTGAGGTCTCGACCAGGTCTCGACTGGTGCTTTCTGGTGGGGGCCCACTGGCTGCCTTGCTGACAGCTAAAGGAGAAGGTCCACAGGTAGGCACGTGTCATCAAGTTTATTCGAATGGCGCATACATGGCTGCCATGAGCAGAGGCCAACACGGGGGCACTAGCCCCCTCTGTGCTGACCCAGAGAAACCAATCGGCAACCCCTGCAATGTGCCCCCTGCCTAGCCCTGGCTGCAGCCCTTCGCCCACAGCGCGGCGTGTGGCGCCCTGGCTGCGCACAAATAATCAACAAAGCCGGTCGTATTACCAACATGGGTATGCAACTGTGATGCAGGGCGTGTGCGCTGAATGCAGATGTCAAAACGTTGCACCCCCAAAACCCGAGACGATATGCCTGGACACAACAACGCAACCGCGGCGTTCCGGCCCCCGCGGACCGAAGCGCCGGTGACGGCATCCCAGTAAAGGGAGCGTGAGCAATCCCCACCATTCAAAAACTGGGCCGCTTGGGCGGCGGCATGGCCGCTGCACCGCCCCTTCCCCCCCTGTACGTTCCACCCAGCGATTGTGACCGAAGCGACAGCCCATGATGCACCCCTTTCCCGCTCTTGCCAGATGCTGAACGCGCCGGCGCCTGGCCTCCTCCCCCTTTCCAAGCCCTGGTGCGCCGCCTCCCAATGGTGGCACTTCCCTAGCCGAAGCTCGCCGCTTTCGATCCCCTCTCCGCCCCAACAGGCATTGCGCCCGCCGCGCGCCTCCCGCGGAGCCGTGGGGGCGCCGGCGGCGCCCGCGCCGAACTGCAGCGTGGGCGAGGCGGCGAAACGCATGACTCATCACGCGTTGAGCTCCTTCTGGATCTCCCCGAAGCTCTTGCCCTGCAGCACAAGGTCGCACAGCAGAAGCGCCGTGTTGGTACAAAGTGACGGCAGCGGTCAGCGTGATCGGGGGGCCGAGCGGCCGCCTCGCGGCGCGCACAGTTAGCGCACGGCGGGCCGAGCGCGCGCGCCCCCTGCCTGCGCCGCCCGCGTCCGCCGTGGCTTGACACCTGCGAACCCAGGAGCAGCGCGCCGCCCGCGCCACCCCCCGATCATCGCCCATCCCATCCCTCTTTTCCGAGCAACGCCTCACCCCAGCTCATTTGCAACCTCCCACGCAAGGTACCCGCCGGCCGGCCCCGCGGCTGCAGCCCGTGTCCCACCCCCCAAACACACCTTGGTCTCCGGCACGTTGGCCTGGATGTAGGCGGCCCCGATCAGCGAGGCCAGCGCGAAGCCCGTGTACACAGCAGACAGCCCGAACCTGTCGACCCATGCCATGAAGTTCTGGCCGATGGCCACGTTGCAGACCCAGTGGGTCACCATGGCTGCAGACACCGCGTTGCCTGCCGGTCCGGCCGGGGAAGGGGGACGGGGCGCGCGGGTGAATGGACAGCGAGCGGCGTTTGTTGAGGCAGGCCCGCCGCAAGGCGCCTGTCCGCAGAGGCGCCCGCCGCGCCGCGCGTGGGCGCGCCGCCCGCGTCACGCCGAGCCAGCTGGCACCCCCGAAACACCCCTTGAACTCCACTCATGCTGCTCCCGTTGCGGCCCCGCTGCCGCCCCACTGGCCTTGCGGCCCTGCTGCAGCACCGCTGCGCCCCGCTGCAGCCCTGCTGCGGCATGCAGCCGAGCTGCGGTGCCGCTGTTGTTTGCGGCCCCCCCTGCAGCCCCACAGCCGGCCCAGTAATGAGTCAGGAGTGAGGGCCCTCACCCCTGACGCACGCATCGTTGAGCTCCGGCACTATGAGGCCGCTGACGGGGCCAGCGCCGATGGCAAAGCTCAGGATGTAGAACAGCGTGCCGCCCAGGGCGATGGGGCCTGATGGGGCGAGGGCGGTTCAGGGTTGAGCAGGCGCGGTGGGTGTGGGCGCCTAGGCGGCGGCGCTGCGCCGTGCACGGCGGGCGGGCAACAGTCAAGGCGGGGCAGGCCGGCCGCAGCGGCCAGCCTCGCCGCAGCGCGCGCCCCGGCGCGCACGGGGTGCGGCCGTGGGCGCCGGCCAGCGGAGGCCGCGGTCAAACGCTATGGTGAAACCTTGCGCTGAAGGGTGGGACTTGCGGGTGCGGCGGGTGCGTTCGTGTCCCCTCACCCGCGTATGCTGAGAGCGCGGGCAGCACAAAGCCAGCGGCCATGATGAGCATGGCTGCCGCCATTCCGAGGTAAGACTGCAGCAGCAGCTGCTTGCGGCCGGCCTGCTCTATGAGGCCCGTGGCTATGAGCGTGCCGGCCACGTTGGTCGCGCCGACGGCGGCGCTGGCGAGCGCGCCCGACGTGATGCCGGCCTGCGGAAGGCGGAGGGACGTTCGAGGGGAGGGGAAGGGCGTGTAGTTGAGGGGATGCCGCCAGGTTTCCTCAGGTGCGGCTCGGCAACTCAGGCCGGGAGATCAGGGCGGGTACGATCGTAAGAGCGGCGCGCAACGCTCCCGTCCGCGCTTAAGGAGGCAGTCGCGTCGTGCAACGCCGCAGCGCCGCGCCGCGCTCTCAGGACCCGCACCAGGCGCACTGCCCCCTAAAAAGCCCCCTGCCGCAACAGCCCGCAAACCCCCTCGTTTGAACCCCCAAAAACAGGCCGCACGGTGCAATTGCCTCAGCCCCTACCCCCGCCC